GGGCAATTAAGCCGAAGAAGGGAGCTAATTGGGTGGTCCGTAAATGGAGTCAAGGTCACACATGCCTAAATCAAGGCCTAGCACAGGATCATAGACAGTTGGATTCAAATGTCATTTGTGCGGCTATAATGAGTATGTATTCTACTGTGTATTTAATGATTCAGATTAATTGAGAATATGGTAAAGTTAATTTTTTTTCCAGATATATTAAAGGAAGATCCATCCACAAGACCAGCTCTGATACAGGAGAGGATACAGGGAACATATGGATACAACATAACGTACAGGAAGGCCTGGAAGGCAAAAATGAAGGCCATCGTTAAGTTGTTTGGTGACTGGGAGAAATCGTACGGATTCTTGCCAAATTGGCTGAAGTATATGACGGAGGTGAATGTGGGTTCTGTGTTCAAGCTTGATACAAATCAATGTTTTGATGAACATCGGGTTTATACAGACAGGGCCGTATTTCAAAGGGTTTTTTGGACATTTCACCAATGCATTGAAGCATTCAAACACTGCAAGCCTATAATTCAAATTGACGGCACTCATCTGTATGGGAAGTACAGAGGTACTCTATTGATTGCAACATCTCAGGATGGAGATGGATTTCTACTCCTTATTGCCTTTGCTGTTGTTCCTCCAGGTGAGTAAATAATTTTGCTTTGGGGTATGTGAAAGCATGTGACCCTTCTTTGCCACTTCATACTGTAAATAATTTCTGAGCCCATCCCTATTGACTTTGTTGTTGTTCCTCCAGGTGAGAGGTTGGATGATTGGTCCTGGTTTCTTAGCCTTTTACGTTTTCATGTCACACATAGGCATGGTATTTGTCTAATATCCGATCGTCATCGAAGCATCATAAGGGCGGTGAAAGATCACGGAGGGTGGCAGCCTCCATATGCTTATCATGTATTTTGTCTACGTCACATCGGAAGCAACTTCAATACCCGTTTTAGGAATGTGGAATTGAAGAAAACGTTGATGAAATTAGGTAATGTACGGTATAATTACTCACATTTTCAACCATTTGAAGAAAACGTTGATGAAATTCACTAACCAATGCATATGTCATGGTTTTTTGCAGGGTACACATGTTCAAAGATAAATTTCGACATTAGATACAAGGAATTTATCGAGAACAATCCTGAAGTTGCTTCATGGTTGGATGCGATTCCGAAAGAGCAATGGTGCAGGTCGTATGATGAGACAGGACGTAGGTTTGGTCATATGACAACTAACCTATCTGAGTGTGTGAATAAGGTGCTTCGTGGAGCACGAAATCTGCCTATAACTGCATTGGTCAAGATGACATTCAGTAGACTCGTTGAGTATTTCGTCAAGAGACGTGAAGGGATTGAAAAAGATATCTCACAAGGTTGGATAATTTCAAAGAAGGTTGAGGCAGCTTTGCAAAAAAATGATGAATTGGCCGGCACTTATCGTGTGAGGATATATGATAGTGAGCTGTTATTGTTTGAGGTTGAGGATGCCTACAATCAATCTACACACGAGGTCGGTGACACCATGAGAGTGGACTTAATCAATCGTACATGTCAGTGTGGTAGGTTTACAGCAAGGAGGTATCCCTGCAGTCATGTATTAGCAGTTTGCAAGGTAGCCAAGCTAAACCATTATGATTATGTGGATCATGTTTTCAAAATTCCAACCATTGCTAAAGTATATGCTGCACACTGGTTTCCTATTGGCAATGAATTGTTGATTCCATCCGTTGTTGGGCCTACTGTAATTCCGGATGCTCAGTTGGTACGTGCAAAAGGAAGACCAAAGTCTTCAAGGATTCAGAATGAGATGGATTGGGTTGAGTCTCAACCCTCTAGCAGTCAGAGCAGATGTAAGCATTGCAAGCAAGTTGGACATAACATTCGTACATGTCCATTGAGACTAAGACAAGCATGATTACGTATTGTTTTTGTGTAGTACTTTGTTTTGTAATGACAATCACTTTACGTATTGTTTTGTTTCCTTGTACCCTAAACTTTATCTTGTATTAGTTATGTATTGTGTTGTTGAAATGTATTGTTGAACTGTATTCTTGTGTTGTTGAAATGTATTGTTGAAATGTATCCGTTAAGTTTAGCGAGTCACTCGTTCCGTATTGTGCAATCCGAATGTCTACCATACCCATTTACCCCTTCCCCGAGTCAGTTAAGGTTATTGTATTACACATCAATTACCAAGATGCAAAAAAAATGGATTGAACAGCACCTGCTGCTGCATCTGCAACTGGTCTACCCGGGTAACTCGTAATGATATACCCGAGTACATCCTACCCGGGTAGACCAGTTCGTGGTACCCGGGTAGACCAGTTGCAGATGCTGTTGCAGATGCTGTTTTGGCCATTTTTTTTGCATTTTGGTAATTGTTGTGTAATACCTACATACAGTATGACTTGGGGGTGGATTGATTTCGTAGAAATAGGATGCAGTAATCAAGATGTGCGCCAATGAAAGTTGAACATGAATATTAAAGTACTTTGGGTTGAATTGATTTCCAAATTAATTATGACAATATTAATGCAAGGTCCCATACTAATGCATAGAACCAACAAGTCTGAACGTGCGCAAAACGAAAATTTCATTCATTCAAATTTTGAACATCCAGTACAAAAACATCCATGCAATGTAGGTAAAGTTCCTAAATGTACCAAAATGACTACATTACATCAAACTAAATCAATGATATGAAACCCTATGGACACACTAATCCGATGGCGTGTCCTCCCCATTCTCTTCATCCGATTGTGTGTCATCCCCATTGTCATCATCCTCCTCCTCCTCCTCCTGAGTATGGGCACCCTCGCCAATTAAACCCTCCAAGCGTGAAACCCTTGTGTCCAACCGTGCAACCCTTGTGTCCATCTGGTTCCGCCACTTGCTCGTGCTCTGTCTATATCCTCTAAAGTCAGTAGTCAGATCATATATGGATGCCATGACATGATCAAGTGTCCATCCACCCTCAGGAGGAGCTGGTGGTCGCCGACTGCGGGTGGGACGTGTCGGTCTGACATCAACCTCAGCAACGCCATCATCATCGTCATCATCATCAAGGCCTACATCATAAACCATGAAAAACACATCTTATAAATACCACATTAAAAAATAAACAACACAAAATTGCATAAACTCATAAAGACCAACACATCACCTGCAGGTGCATCCTCCATCTCAGCATCGTGGTGGAATGGGATCTCAGGTGGTTCTGGTGCCTTCTTCCACGTCCAGATACCCGCTCTGTTCGGTAGGATCCCACACTGCTTCAGGAGCCTCTCACCAAATATAGCATTCCAGCCTCTGGCGGTCTTCAAGGTCTCTGTTGCCATAGGCACTCCAAATCTATGCAGAATCTTCTGCACCAGAAATGCAAAAGGCAATTCAGCCTTCTTTGACTTGGCTGCCTTCCACATCAGTATGCATATGTAATGCCTCCAGTTCACCTGCTGACTGTGAAGGAGGGCCCACAGGATGACAAAGTCCCCTTCCAGCACCTTTGAGTGATTATGCGGGCGCTGGAAAATAATATGTGTCACCACATAATGAAGAATGCGAGCAGAAACTGACAAGTTGCTAACAGGATAATGAGCAAAATGACCGGGCTCAGCGTCTGCCCTCCTAGTCTCTGTAACAATGGTCTCCCGGTTATAATCACCAAATATATGATGGTTGTCTCCATCATATAGTGCTGCTCCTGTGACACCATCAAAATCGAACCCCAGTAGCTCCGTCCAGATAGGAGCAGTCATGATGATATCAATCCCGCAGACACGGGAAGTCAGCTCGCCTTGCGAGTAGCCAAGGTTCTGGTAGAAGGCTCTTACCATAACCTCCGAGTATGGGCACCGCATCTCCGCCAGGTGAAGTAAATGTGTCTGCTCAAGAAGCGGCACAATGTCAAAACGCTCTAGGTTGAAGAATGCCGAATCCAGTGATTTCGTTCGCAGATCTTCCGGGTCATGAAAAACTTCACGAACTTCTCGTGTGAAGGTATGTCATCCTCAAACAAATATCCGAACGTCAAGTCCGGAGCCTGACTCGAAGCAGCCTGGGGCTGAGAGGATGACGACCCATCGTGACGACTCTTGGTTCTTCTCTCGGAATGGGTCACTGGCAGCTTTGAAACGCGTCGAGAGGTCATTGTGTCACACTATTAAACTGAAAAAATAACCAAAATCAGAAATTAGATACATGTTAGGGTTAGGGTTAGGGTTAGGGTTAGGGTTAGATTCAGGGTTAGGGTTAGGGTTAGGGTAAGCGTATGACATACAAATTGATAAAATAATTCGGACAGAATCAAATGATATAAACGAAAATACAATGAATCAGAACAGAAATCATAACATAATTGAAAAAACTGAAAAAAAAATGCACCTTTGATCGATTTCAATCGGTAGAAGGCAGAGAGGTTGCAAGGTCCGCGAATGATGATCAGAAACAAGACGAATTGGTGCAAGATTATGCCTGAAATCGCTCAAGAAGACACTCCTCCAGCAGCTCTACTCGGGTACCCCTTTTGTGGGTTTTCGAAATGGGGCTGCTGGGGTATTTTAAAACCCTACCGTCGATGTTTACCCGGGTACACTGCTCCATACCCGGGTAAATAATTCAACCATTTTCCCAGATTCAAGAACTCTACCCGGGTACACCCCTACATACTCGGGTAGATAAAAAGTTTCAAAAATTACCCGGGTAGGTAATGGTGTACCCGGTAGGCTTCGTGGTCAACGGTCAAACAGGGGCAGATTGGTGTTATGTTTGTTGGGGAGGGTAAATTTTCGAAATAGTTTTGAATGAAGGGCAATTTGGTAATTAGTTATTAATTAAGGGTCATTCAAAAAGCCGAAGGAGAGCAGTACAAGTGACACACGGACATTTTTTCCATCAGCTGGATCAGACACGCGTCACACGGGAGTTTCGCTTAGCAGCCCTAATCAGAAGACGAGTGTCCCTCACGGGTCTATGAGTGTCGGCAATCAAGGTTCAAAAATGGAGCATCATCGCTTGCCTCAAGTGGAGCTCCACGAGAGATCTCGGAAGGGCCCGTGTTTTAAGTGCGGCGACAAGTGGAATACCCAACATCGTTGTAAGGGCCCTCAACTGCAGTTGTTGCTTATCGACGATGACGACGAGGAGGATGGAGATACCAAGGCCGCACCAGTGCGTGACGTTCCGGTGGGGATACCGTCCGAGGAAGAGGCTCTCTTTCAAATGTCCATGTTTAGCTTACTTGGGCTCTCTTCGAACCAAAGTATGAAGTTGTGGGGGTCAATAAGAAGGGAACGTTTAGTGATGATGGTGGATAGTGGAGCTTCGCGGAATTTTGTGGAACGTTCGGTGGCTGAACGGTTGAAGCTCACAGTGGAGGCCACTCCCACTTACAACGTGGTGGTAGGGGACGGTTACAAGGTGCAATGTCAGGGTGTTTGTCGCAATTTCACCATCGATGTTCAAGGTGCCCATTCTTGTCAGGATTTATTCCTCTTCGAGTTAGGAGGTGCTGAGGTTATTTTAGGGCTTGATTGGCTGAAAGGTTGGGGCGAAATGAAGGCTGATTTTGGTAATCTCACTCTTAAGGTTTGCGTGGAGGGACGAGAGGTCACGCTGAAGGGAGATCCGGTTCTGTCCAATACCACTACTGTGACCATGCTGCGTTCCATGGTCAAGGCTTTATCTACAGCTCAACAGGGTTTTGTGGTGGATCAACATTGGCAACAAGAGGGCACTAAGGCTGTCGAAAGCTTGTGGCCTGAATTGGAAGCTTTATTAAGCGATTATGCTGCTGTTTTTCAAGAACCTCAGGGCCTTCGACCAAAGCGACGACAGGACCATTCCATTTGTCTCAAGGCAGGAAGTACAATACCCAATGTCAGGCCCTACAGGTATCCTTATTATCAGAAAGCCATCATTGAAAATTTGGTTTCTGAATTACTGGTTTCAAGTTTGATATGACCTAGTGAGAGCCCATATTTGTGTCCTATAATTTTGGTGCGCAAGAAGGATGGGAGTTGGAGAGCTTGTGTGGACTACCTTTCTTTGAACAAAATTTATGTTCCTGTCAAGTTTCCCATTCCAGTGATTGAAGAGCTTCTGGATGAATTAGGGGGAGCAAAGGTTTTCTCTAAGTTGGACCTCAAATCAGGGTATCATCAAATCCGCATGAAGGAGGAAGGACATACCTAAAACGGCTTTCAGCACACATGAGGGGCACTGCGAGTATGTCGTGATGCCATTTGGGCTCACCAATGCCCCCACAACATTCAACTCTTTGATAATGAGGTTTTAAAACCATTCCTCCGAAAATTTGTGTTGGTCTTTTTTGATGATATCTTCATCTACAGTAAGGGCAGAACAGAGCATGTGCAACATCTCCAGAGGGTGTTTGAGGCTTTAAGTGACAATGGTCTTGTGGCCAATCGAAAAAAATGCTCGTTTCTTATTTCTCAACATGGGGTATGTGCTGACCCAAAGAAGGTTGAGGCCATTCTTCAATGGCCAATTCCAAAAAGCCTTAAATCGTTGAGAGGATTTTTAGGTCTCACTGGGTATTACCAAAAATTCGTCCAAGATTATGGGAAGATAGCAAAGCCCTTAACCGACTTATTAAAGAAGGATGGTTTTATTTGGCATGATCAGACTCAGTTCACATTTGATACTCTCAAGACAACCATGACTACTCTTCCAGTCCTTGCATTTCCTGATTTCACCAAGCCTTTTATGGTGGTCACAAATGCTTCTGGCCGTGGGGTAGGGGCTGTCTTAATGTAAAAAGGCTGCCCAATCAGTTTCATTAGCCAAGGTTTCTCTAAACGGGCTCTAGAGAAGTCAATTTATGAGAAGGAGATTATGGCGATTGTCTTTGCTGTTCAAAAGTGGAGACCGTATTTATTGGGCCAAAAATTTATCATCAAAACTGATCAGAAAAGCTTGAAGTTTATGATGGAACAAAGGGTATTGGGTGAAGATCAACAACGATGGGTTACCAAGCTTTTGAGGTATGACTTCGAGATTCAATACCAACCCGGCTGGGAAAACATGGTGGCAGATGCGCTTTCTCGTCAAGACCAGTTTTCAGCATTGACTTGTGTAGTCCCAGTAGGAGCTGCCCCCTTTGAAACAGAATTGCAATCGGATCCTAAATTGAGAGCCATTTTGCAAGATTTGCTTGCTGATCTGGATTCTCACAATGGTTTCACAGTGAGTGGGGGTCAGTTATTCTTCAAAGGACGGGTTAGTTTGTTCACGTCATTCCAATTTCATTCTTCTTCTATTAACAGAATTTCATACCTCTTGTGTTGGGGGACATTCTGGCTTCCTCCGTACCTATAAGAGAATTGCTTCACTAGTATACTGGGAAGGTATGCGCAATCAGATTAAGGAGTTTGTGGCTGCATGCCCTACATGTCAATAGAACAAGAGCCAAAATCTCTCGCCAGCAGGCCTTTTACAGCCTTTACCTATACCCACTCAGGTTTGGGTGGATATTTCAATTGATTTTGTGGGTGGCTTACCTAAGGCTCAAGGGAGTGACACCGTTTTTGTGGTGGTGGACCGCTTGTCAAAGTTTGCTCATTTTATTCCTCTCTCTCATCCATATACAGCAAGGGAAGTAGCTTTGATATTTATCAAGGAGGTGGTGCGTCTTCATGGTTTCCCTTCTTCTATTGTCAGTGACAGAGACCGTGTCTTTCTCAGCTCTTTTTGAACTGAACTCTTCAAGTGCATAGGCACCAAATTGAAGTTTAGCACGGCCTATCATCCTCAATCCAATGGCCAAACCAAGGTGGTCAATCGTTGTCTGGAGACCTACTTGAGATGCTTTTGTGGTCCTAACCCAAGACGTGGCCGCCTTGGTTACATTGGGCGGAATTTTGGTATAACACCTCATATAAGGAGGCCACGGGCACGACACCATTTAAGGTGTTGTATGGCTGTGATCCCCCTAGTTTGCTGCGTTCTTATTTTGCTATTTCACTGGTAGATGAGGTTTCTAAATTGTTACAAGATAGGGACACCATCCTCAATGATTTGCAACAACATTTGATCATGGCCCAAAATCGAATGAAGTGTCAAGCGGATCAGCATAGGAGAGACGTTGAATTTGCTATTGCTGACATGGTTTATTTGAAGTTGCAGCCATATAGACTTAAATCATTGGCTCGTAAGATCAATGAAAAATTAAGCCCACATTTTTATGGTCCCTTTCGAGTACTTGAACGTGTTGGGGCTGCAGCTTATACATTGGAACTGCCTAAAGAGAGTAAAGTTCATCTGATTTTCCACGTCTCTTTGCTTAAAAAAGCAATTTCCCCTTCTGACATGGTGCAGCTGTTACTATCCTTATTAACTGAGACTTGGGAGTTATGTGGAGCCAGAAACCGTGATGAGTTGGAGAACAAATTCATTGGGCAAAACTGAAGTTTTAATTAAGTGGCAAAACCTTCCTTCCTTTTGAGAATTCGTGGGAAGAAGCTACTAAACTCAACCATCAATTTCCAGAATTTCACCTTGAGGACAAGGTGAAAGTCATGGGGGGAAGTATTGATACGAAGGTGTTGCATACTTATGGTAGGAAGCGAATCAGAGGAGTAATTCCTTCATAAAAGCTGATGTGGTGCAAGGCCTTCTGGAAGGTGTAGAGAGTAACGTTTGAAAGGAGAATGCAGTTGGGAGTTTGTTAGGGAGAGAGTAAACAGTATGGTGACGTGGCAGAATGAAGAGAAGGAATAAAGGCAAAGCAGTGAGATAGAAATACAGACTGGGAAAATAGACTTGGAAATAGGAGAGACTGCACCTCTCGAAAGTGTATGAGTGAAACTTCTTTTATTGTTGTTATTCGATTGTAATCCGGTCAATGACCATTAAGGAATTCTGCATTGTAATGATTTAATTTTCTGTCAAATATATTAAAGAAAAAACTGGAAAGGTTTTCTTTCTAGACCAAAAGATTGCTGAGTTACGTTGTTTCTTTAAATTTGTCAAGTTGGTTTAGATCTTATCATAGTGCATAAACACCTTAATGTGTAAATGAAGGAAAAGGAGGTCTTGTGCCTTAATAAAGAGAAATAAGTTTGCAATTTGTCATATGTAGCCTCACTTCACTTGACTAGTAAAGCAAATGAAACTTACCTCTGCAGAGTGCAGGCTAAGTTTTATCAGATGAGGAGACGTGACCTGTATAATTCTTGTAAAACTCTACGATAGTTTTGAGGTATATGCTCAAAACCCCCTTTAAATGTGCATATTGTACTACTTGTTATTGTGTTCATTTTTGTTACATGTCTGCTTAGTTCTCTCTTTGTTATCTTAATTTTTCACCTGATTTTTGGAACTGGTATTCCTACCCCACAACAGGAGTACACGTAAATTTGACTGTTGTGCAACTGAATATCAAGCAGGCTGAATACGTAATCACCCATGACGTTTGGTTAAGACACTGTTGGATCCATATAGGCTGAAGGAAAAGGAGTCCTACCATTGCAAGATACCAGTCCTAAGGCAAAAAAAAAGCTATTCTAACCTCAAGAGTATTTGTCAAATAAAAGCTATTCTGACCTCAAGATTATTTGTAAATATATATATGTGTGTGTGTGTGTGTGTGTAATTTTTTTTAGATAGCAATCAATGTTTGAAGTCCTTATGGGTTTAATTAATTCGGTGCTGATTTTGAGCCTCTCCACACACTCCAGTTGCAATTATTTACAATTTTAATGTATGGATGTTGGCGTCAATTTATAGGCCCTAATTGTTAGTATGTGTTTAAGCTATTTTTGGTCTTGAATTATTCCAAGGTGCGTTACAAATGGGTTAGTTACTGTTATGTAATAAGAAAGAAATTCCACGCTTTGCCAAGCAAAAATGATAACTTGTTAACCACTGCCTGAGTCACTGAAATTAAAGACTGCCAACAAAAATTTCGGCAACAAATGCCGAGGCATGCTGAAAAGTTACTTTTACATATGATTTTGCACTTTTACTAATTAGACCCACTGTTAACAAGAGTTGGTTCAATTGGTAAAGATCAAAACACTTCACTTGCAAGGCTTGGTTGCCAGCAATTTTCCAAAATGGGTAATATAGTAGGTAAGTCATAGCTAAGGTTTATGATATGCCCCGTCTTTGGAATTGGTAACTTACAATCAATTTTTCCCAAAAAAAAATTTCCAAACCAAAAGAAAAATGCTACAACCATGAGTCCAGGTATCTTCAAATTAAGGCGTACCTTTTTTCTTTCAAAACATAAATTACACAAATTGAACTAATCTACAGGTACTGTTTGAAGTTTGAACTCGATACAAAATTTATACATAACAAGAAATACAATAGACAAATTAATCATTTTACTCAATTTCCAACACGACATATCAGATTTTTCATTATAAGTCCAAGATCCACCTAGAAAAAAAAATGAAAAATACAAGACTTAGGATAATATCACGTCGTAAATTTAAAAATTCGTGAATAATAATTATAAATAAAAACCCATCAATTAAGTTTTCTATACTTGCAAGACCAAATAACCAGAGGGTGGTTATGGGAATTAGAGCCGAGACAACAATAGAATTGCAAAGAGTTTGTTAACAATACCTCGTGTCCAAAAAGATCCCTGATATTATGTATCCTATATAGAATCAGCGTTGGCCTATTACCTGGTAAAATAACAAGTTAAAACTAATTTCCATTGTATCCATCAATATATTACAGTGTAATCTCCCTATAGTTTCCTTAGATTCGGAGAACAAAACTGTAACTATAATTTAGGTTTTACAAATTAATTGATTTTATTCTCAACAATGAATATGGTGTGGTCGTTTTTTTCTCACCTTTTAAGGGAAAGGCCCATGCAATAACCAGGACATCTTCAGGAAGTCCCATTGGTTGCAGCATTTCAGGTCTGAACATGCCTGAGTTTCCTCCCTCTACCCATTTTTTAAAGCCTTGATGATAGCTGATACAGTAATTGATTAATAAGTAAAGTCTGAGAAAACCATAAGCAAATGCCACATAATCATTACAGAAAAAGTCACCCGAATATCTCCATGCTAGGTTCAGTGTATGGATTGTTAACCCGTTTGAACTTCAGGTTGGTCATGCCTGACTCAATGATGAAATTGTTATAATTATTATTTAGCATAGATCAATAACAGAATGAATAGGATGGCTAAAGGTTAATACCCAAAAATTCATCCTCTCAACCCTAAACAAACATTCATTGGTAATTTTCGCCTTTGTCAAAAAAAAATTCTGACTTTCATCCTCTAACATGTTGCTCCTACCAAGAAGGAGGACTTACCTAATCCCAATAATCACCACATTGGAGCAACCTGTATTCTTTCTGTATCAAGCAAACTCTATTTACCACAACATTGCCATCTTTCATCCATATGCTGAACAAGTAAAAAGAATTTTTCAAGTCTATAATTCTACTGTGTGTGAAACCTTTTTCTCCTATCAATGATCTGTTGCAAGAGTGAGATATTGCAAAATGAGTATGAAACACATAGTGAATGTTGGCCAAGTTTGCAGGCAAGGCAAGCCGGTAGGCAACAGACCCTACCCTACCAAGTATCTGGTATGGCCCAATGAATCTCGGGTTAAGCTTCCTCATTCTGAGGGCACGACCAAAACCGGTGACAGGTGAAAGTCTCACAAACACGTGTTCACTCTCACTAAACTCCAATGGCCTATGCTTGTCGTCATAGTAGCTCTTCTGACGGTTCTATGCTTGCTTCAGCTTCTCCCTGATCATCTGGATCTGCTGGGTAGTC